GACATATGCAGCTGTGGGTGGCGCATTCTGGGTGCCGCTTTCGGTGGAGCTCTGTTTGGGGCCACGAAGCGTGTGAGGGGTGTGCCGCATTGGGCGCTGCCATGCGCACGCAGCCACTGGGGCCTTCGGTGGAGCTCCTTATGGGGCCACGAACTGTGTGGGGTGTGTGCCGAAACTGGTGCGGCGGAGACATGCGAACGCAGCCACTGTAGCATTCGGTGGAGCTCCCTAGAAGGGCCACGACAGGTGTGAGAGGTGTGCCGAAACGGGTGCGGCAGAGTCATGCGAATGCAGCCACTGGGGCTTTCGGTGGAGCTCCCTATGGGTGCCGACATGGACATGCGGAGAGCAGAGGCAGGCATGGGAGGAGGGAGGGACGGAGGGAAGGAGGGGGAGGGAGGTGATACGTGACGCGGGGCGCTGTCTCGTCAAAACGAGGACCCAACACCACAGGATGATTGGGAAAATCAGAACGACGTTTTTGTTTGCAAGTTTCGGCGTGTGGGGGGTCCTGCCGGGCCCCAGGAATGTCACAAAAACGGCTCGGGATCAAAAGCGGGCCCTGGGGAAATAATCGGGACTTCTGGGGGCAACGCATTGAACACATAAAAACGTCGGATTTGAGTGTGGAGGTTTCGAACATTGCTAGCCCTTGTCGGGCAAATGGAGGCCTCTGGAGGCCTCCAGGGGGGACCTCTGGGGGTGAGGATCCAGGTCGGGAGCAAAGCTTACGTACCAACTTGGGCATGGCTCACGCTGCGCCGTGGGGGGAGGTCGTCGTCGTCGTCGTCGTCGCCGTCCTCGTCAGTATCATCCTCCTGCTCCTCGTCGTCATTGCCATTGCCATTGCCATTGCCATTGCCATTGCCGTCGCCGTCGCCGTCGCCGTCGCCGTCGCCGTCGCCGTCGCCGTCGCCGCCACCACCGCCGCCGCCACCGCCGCCGCCGCCGCCGTCGTCGTCGTCGTCGTCGTCGTCGTCGTCGTCGTCGTCGTCGTCGTCGTCGTCGTCGTCGTATTCGTCGTATTCGTCGTCGTCGTCGTCGTCGTCGTCGTCGTCGTCGTCGTCGTTGTCGTCATCTGGTCATCATCGCCCAGAGATGCCCCCCAGACGGCTTCCGACGGCGTCAGACGGACCAGAAACGCTCTAAGACGGGCAAAGAAGCCTCCGAGAACCCCCAAACGGCATCCAAGAGGCTCAAGAAGGCCCCCCAAGATGCCTGCGAGAGGCTCTCAGAAAGCTGCCAGGACGGCCCAAGAGTGCCCCCAGATGCTCCCAAGACGCCTCCTCCTCCTCCTCCTCATCCTCCTCCTCCTCCTCCTCCTCCTCCTCCTCCTCCTCCTCCTCCTCCTCCTCCTCCTCCCCCTCCTCCTCCTGCTCCTCCTCCTCCTCCTCCTCCTCCTCCTCCTCCCCCTCCTCCTCCTGATCTTCCCCGCCATCCTCCTTCAAGTGTTCCCCGCAAGGTTTCCACAACGGCTGGGGAAACACATGGTCCGACAGCGTGGCGGACTCGGCCACGTGGGCGATTCCAAAAGGCAAGGGGCGGCGGTGATTAGCCGTAGGCGTCTTCGATAGCCCATGACTGAATATGATACTTACGCGCATCATCCGTGCACGCTTGGGCCAGCAGGGCTAGGAGGGGGCGAGGTGCGCCACCCAAGTTTACGGCGCTTTGGACAAGAAGAGTGCGATGCGCTGTCGCGCTGGACTGCTAGATTACATGGTTGTGCGCTGTACACTGACCGATCAGAAACACGTGTGTGTGTGTTATCCCCTGGTGCACGGAACCATGCGGAGCATCTAGAGTACTACAACTAGAGTGCACGACCAGTAGTGCGTTACAACTAGAATGTACGCTTACCACTATGAGCTGTTTCTCAGCACTACAAATCGAGCACACAGGGAGTAGGCAATAACAAGACGTGGATCAGAGAGACCTCTGGCCCTGCTGCCCTCCGAGACGTTTGAATCACCGCCTGGCCTCCGCAGAGCGCTCAGCCTCCTCCTTGGCCAAGCGCTCGGCCTCCCCCGCGTGTTCGGCCTCCTCCTTGGCCAGCCGCTCGGCCTCTGCCGTGCGCTCGGCCTCCTCCTTGGCCAAGCGCTCGGCCTCCGCCTTGCGCTCGGCCTCCTCCTCCTCGACCAACCGCTCGGCCTCTGCCGCGCGCTCGGCCTCCTCCTTGGCCAAGCGCTCGGCCTCCGCCTTGCGCTCGGCCTCCTCCTTGGCCAGCCGCTCGGCCTCCGCCTTGCGCTCGGCCTCCTCCTTGGCCAGCCGCTCCGCCTCTGCCGCGCGTTCGGCCTCCTCCTTGGCCAAGCGCTCGGCCTCCGCCTTGCGCTCGGCCTCCTTCTTGGCCAGCCGCTCGGCCTCCGCCACGCGCTCGGCCTCCTCCTCGACCAGCCGCTCGGCCTCTGCCTTGCGCTCGGAGTCATCTTTGGCCAACCGCTCGGCCTCCGCCACGCGCTCGGCCTCCTTCTCCTTAGCCAGCCGCTCGGCCTCTGCCAGCCGCTCGGCCTCCGTAGCGCGATCGTAAGACGAAGCCAAGACGAGGACAAATCGGGTGAGGATAAATCGAGAATCTCTTAGAACTGGCGGCTCTGGAAGATGCCTCGGGCGCAGCGGCCTTCTCAGAGCGTTCAACTGATTCATCCTCGTCCCATCCCCGTCCGACGGGATGGATCTTCGAAGACCTCGGTAGGCAGGCAGCGGATATGGCTAGACTTGGCCCCCCAGGGCCCGAATATATCCATATCCGCCGCCTGCCGAAGTCCCCGAAAACCGATCCCCCAGGCGGTGGTGATGGATGAATCCTCGCCACGGAGGCCCCCCCTGGTCCTCCGCCAGATCCAGACATCCAGCTGCTCCAATTTTTCCGATGCGTGGGCCGTGGAGGCCTGGACCACTTCCCTATAGAGTCGGTTTTTCGTCCTGAATCGTCTTCTGACGGTCCCGAGGCCCGGCGAGGGCCCCCTGAGGCCGAAGCTGGCCGAACGCCAGCCGCCCCAATGTTTTCTGGAGCGTCGGATCTCTGGGGATGTCCCCCCGGCCCTCTGCCAGCCGCTCGGCCTCCTCCGGCCGCCCGGCCTCAGCCCTGTGCTCGGCGGCGCCCGCCGCGCGCTCGGCCGCCTCCCGGCTCGACGCCGACGGCCTGCGGCCGCCAAGGCCCGATGGGGGGGCGGGCGGGCACCGCTGTTTCCGTCGCGGTGCGGCAGGGGCAACCCGCTCGCGCGCTCTATCAGCTGGGGTGAAGCGTGCTACGTTGTCCAGCAGCACGAGCGAGAGACAAAGAGAGAGAGAGGGCAGACGGCGGCCGCGGAGCCAGGGGGGGGGGGGGGCACCACATGCGAACCCTACTCGGCGGCGGGCGAGGGCCGGGCGGGTGGCACTGGGGGGTGATCTGGATGGGGGGCGAAGCGCAGGGCCCGAAACAGGCCTTTTCGAGGGCCGCTCTTGGAACCAGCAGGGGCCCACAAGGGGCCCTAGAGTGCCCCTGTAGGCCCCTCTTCGTCGTCCCTAATGTAGGTCACCCCCCCTTGCCACCCGCCCGAAAGGGGAGAACTGAGAGGGAGAGGGCCCTCTCAGAAGGAAGCGGGGCTGCTCAGAAACCCTCCGGCCTTCTGAAACGTTGTTACCCAAAGAGGCTTGCCCTATAAGAGTTCTAACTCAAACCCTACTAATTGGTCCGTTGCCCCCTAATTCCCATGCCCCCCCCCACCTTCATTCTCGCTATGCCTACGGCTATGCCTATGCCTAACTCCTATGCCTGCGCTTATGCCTATGCCTATGCCTATGACTGCTTGCTTGTTTGATTGCTTGTTTGTTTGCTTGCTTGCTTGCGCGCTTGCTTGCACGCTTGCGCGCTTGCTTGCTGAGTTGCGGATTCCAAGCATGTTCGATTCCTCTGATTCCTTGAGTTGAGCCGTCTAACCTATATATGGCGCCCCCTGTTTCCAATGGCATGTGCTTGCTTGCTCTTGCGTGCTTGCTCTCGATTGCTTGCTCTTGTTTGCCCGTGCTTGCTTGCACTTGATCGCTGGCTCTTGCTTACTTGTTGTTGCTCGCTTGCGCTTGCTTGCTTCCGCTTGCTTGCTTGCGTTTGCTTGATTTTGTTCTCCCCGTCCTGCTCCCGTCCTCCTTTTCGTCCTCCTCCCATCCTCCTCTCGTTCTCCTCCTGTCCTCCTATCTATTTGGAGTCAACGCTGGCTGATAGTTCTGTCTCAACAAAAAACTCCGGAACTTCTCAGAAGGCCGGGGGGCTTCCGAACCTTCTGACAAGGCCCGCCCCTTCTACCTTCCCCCCCAAGCGCGCGCTGGCCCAGGCTCAGATGTGAACCCCAGCGGGGGTGTCCGACACCACCACAAGCGATCGAACCTGCAAGGGTTGGGTTCGCAACTGGTCGCACAAAGGCTGGAGGAGCGCAGGGCGTGGAAGGGGGGGGCAGTCACGAGCAGCGAACGTATCCATGTCCACGCCTTCGAGCTGTATGGACGCTGGGGCGCGATCCCGCGGACACTTTTCCGTCGCAGCTCGGCGAATGCAATCCGCACGCGCGTCTGTGCGAGACCAGGGCATGGTGTCGCGAATTAGCCCGCATGCAAGGGGGGGGGGAAGAAAGAGAGAGGCGAGGATGCGGCCGCAGAAGGGGGGGGCAAAGCGCGGGGGCGCACTCACACAGCGAGGCTGCAGCGGGTGCGTGGGCGCGGCCTGGCTGAGGGGTCACCCCTGGCAGCGGCTGCGGGTCGGCGTCGCCGTGCGCCCAAGGGGGGGCCAGCAACCACAGTGCGGGCAAGGCCCGGCAAGTCGAAGAGCGGGAGAAGCTGGCGGCCCGAGGACCAGGGCGCCGGCGGGGGGGGGGGAGGCAGCGGCGTGGGGGCCGGTGGCAGCAAGGGGAGGTGCGCCAGCGCTGCAACAGCTGCGACGAGCCCAAGGCGGCGGATGGCGAAGCGGTCCCAATGCGGGAGCGGTCGCACGGGTACGTTCCGCGCGGGGCACCCGCGAAAAAACGACCCGTATCCGCGGGCTCGCGGCCCACGAGGCTGCGGACCGCGGATACGAATAACTGTGCAGCCCACAGGGCGGGGGAAGGGTGGTGAGCTGGGTGAGCTTGGTGAGCAACTGCCCATGCGTGCACAAGTGAGACAGAGCAAACAAAAAACGGGAAGCACGCCGTCCGGAGTCGGCTGATGAAAAGTGCGCACAGGTCTGAAGACTGTTCAAGTCGTCGGTCGCTTAACTTTGCACCCTGCCCCTACCCTCGTTCAGCCCCCTAATTACCTTCCATCCTTGTCATATTGCAGGCAACCGCCACGGCGAGGCCCAAAGAGGAGTCCAGTCGCAGGAGCGGCAGACAGAGGTGGCAGATGGAACAGGAAGCAAGGAGGCGGTGCGGGGGGTGGGGGGGGCGGGGAAGGCTCCTCTCCTGTTCCTGCTGTTCCAACTCCTGCTCCTCCTCCTCCTCCTCCTCCTCCTCCTCCTCCTCTTCCTCTTCCTTCTCCTCTTCCTCTTCCTCTGCCTCCTCCTCGACCTCCTCCTCCTTCTCCTCCTCCTCCTCCTCCTGCTCTGGTCCTTTACTTCTACTCCTGAGCTGACGGCAGAACTTTCATCCAGCGTTGCCACCCTCCCCCAGAGCTGGTCGGCCCCGGGGGGGGTCTGATCAAACCAGTCAGCCAGGTGGCTTCAGGGGCGATCGCCCCTGGAGTCGCAGGCTGGTCGTAAAATTGTAGATGGTGGGAAGGTAAGCGACAGCAGAACGGGGAGGGAGGAGGATAAGAAGGATCAAATCATGACCTCAAGAAGGGGGGGAGAGGGGACTGAAACGGCACGCAGCAGTGGTACACGGTGCTAGCGATAGCCGAGAGGAGTGGCTGGCAGAAAGCGGGCGCAGGCGGATGTGCGCGGTGGTCGCGTGCCGTCGTAGCGGCTGGCAGTCTGGCGCACCGGCGGCACTGCGAGAGGAAGATAAACGTGTCCTCTGACGCTTACGAACCAGAGTCTGAATTCTCTGCCCGAGTATGGCCGACAACAGGAGGCTTCCCCATCATCGACTGACACTGCTAGCAAACCGCGACCAAGAGTGGTGATACCGTTCAGTAAGCAATTTCTGGTCGCACGAGGCTGGGCCAGATCGCAACAAGACACACAACACAAGTTCTCCCCGTACATGACGACGGTTCCAGGTACATAAGTATGTGGCTAGACATTACATAGCACCGTCGCCTCGTAGGCGAACGCTACAAAACACACTTGCAAAACAAAGCGTCAGCCACCCGTTGAATCGAACACGATTGTCGCACACATGCCACTGACTTCAATTGCATCACCAAGCCCGCCGCGGCGCATCAAGTATTCAACCGCGTAACGAGTGCAAGGCGAGGCACGCAGCATGCCACCAACGCCGAATCCACGGGCCGAAATTGCAACGGTGCCACTCGTTCCAAGATGCTGCGTTTGCAGCGCACGACTACGCCCCCCCTGACCAAACCCCAAAACAAACTGAAGCATGAATTGGTGCCGGGCATGCCAGAACTGGTATAGAGGTTCGGCGCCGCCGTATCAGTGATTCACCGGGGGGGGGAATTGAATTTCATCAAGAGCGGGAGAGGGGACACAGCGCTCCGCCAGAGGAGGAGGAGGAGGAGGAGGAGGAATCAGAAAATAAAACAACTGAGCATAAGCATGCGAATAATAACAGTACGGATGCCAATAATGCTGATGCGTACAACAGTAATGAAACACATAATAATTATGATACTAATAACAACCAGTATATAAAGAAGAAGGAGAAAAAGAAGAGTAAGCAAGCCCAGAATGAGAGCAGAGGCGATGAGGAAGGGGACGGAGTCCCGCAGCAGTTCTCGTAGTTGTAGGGGCCCTCCCAGCACTCCTCGCGCCCGCGTGGGCCCAGCCGCAGGTCGCAGCAGAACGCGGCGTTCAGCTGCCCCGCCCAGCAGCTCAGCTCCTTGATGAGAGGGAGAACAGGTTGCGCGCTCGAGTAGCAGAAGGCGAGGAAAGATCGCCCCTGGAATGGGGCGCATACTATCAGCAATCTTGCTGTAACTCTTGAGGCGCCATCTCCGTCGCCCTTTAAAGGTCATAACGTGTCCCAAACCTTCTGTGGGTTCCGGGGGCCACCAGGGGATAAGACACTTCCGTGTGGCACCTGCTGGCAGGCCAATTTCTTATTGTATGTGCCCACTGGAAGGAGAGTGCGAGCGCTCCGGCTTCGGAAGCCGAACTCATGCAGAAGTCTGCCACAAGCGCAAGTTGTTGATCACGAATCCGCGGGCGCAGCTGGGCCTAGCCAGGCCCCAGCGGTAACCACACCTGCCATTGCGAGGATGAGTCGGCGGCGCGCCGAGGGGGGAATCTAGAGGGGGGGCAGAACATCTCAAAACGCGGCGGGGCTTCTCAGAGGACCTCTGGTAGAGAAAGCGTAGAGAGCTTCTCAGAAGGTCCGAGGCCTTCTGAGCCCTCTCAGAAGGCCCGCCGCCTGGGCGCGCCGCCGAAAGAGAGGGGACGACGAGTGCTCGCCCCGAGCCAACTCTGACCAGCCCGACAGAAGAGACGCCGGCTCGCGCGAGCAAAAGACCCTCGCTCCGATTCTCTGGACGCCCGAGATGGGTACGGAAAATAAGTAGGTACGACGCCCAAAAACAAACTGGGCTCTGGCGATAAACCGTCAACCCTGGCTACCGCCAGGAAGCTCGCAGTACATCTCAAGGCAGGATGCCTGGCACAGGCTGCGAGACTGCATATTGATAGGCTCGTTTTGTTTAAAGATAACTCCAATGCGAATTCGCTCTCAGGTCTCTCGAGGCAGCAGGTCAAAATTTCCGATGTTGCTGGACCGCTTTGTGCAATCGAGAGCTCTGTAGCTGCTCTTCATGCAGGAATGCAGCAGAAAGCCGGGCGAAGCAGCAGAGCAGTTTTCGATCATAGCTCGAGTAACAAGACGAGCTCTGAGTGGCAGAACAAATCGATTGGTCGTCCCCACGATCAAGGAGAGGCACAAGTCTGGGTTAACTCTGAATTTCGAAATTTCCGCAACAAATCTTTAGAGAAACCACCAAACGGTTGCAGAGGGAAACGAGTCTTTCGGACATTACGCGAGTCGGAGACCGATCTCAGGTCTCTCGAAGCTGCAGACTCATGGTTCCCAAGCTGATGAATCGATTGGTGCAATCACGGGCTCCGCAGCTGCTCGAACCCCCAGAACTTCTCAGAAACACCGCGCAAAGCAGCAGAACGGCTGCAGAGTGATATTATAATTTCGAGCATAGCTCGGATAGAAGACCGAGCTCAGTTCTCTGGGAGTGGGAGTGGAAGCAAGCTGCTGGTCGTACCCGAGTTCATGAACATGCAGAGCTCTGGGCTCACTCTGAGTCTCGAGATTTGGGCAACAAGACATTTGAGAGAGCAGAGCACCGTTTCCAAAGTAATACTAGTTGTTCGAAGACTACTAAACCGATCTCAGGTCTGTTGAGGCTGTAGACTGATGCTTTCGGGGCTATTGAACAAATTGCTGCAATCAAGAGCTCCCCAGCGGCTCTAGATCTCGAAACTCAGTCCGCCAGCCAAACCCGCGCAGAAGAATAACAGGTCAGGACCAGTTGATGCCCTGATGCATGTTGCCCTTCAAAACGATAAGAACTGATTTTACAACGGCTAGAAAGAATGTGATCCAACTTACCCGGAAACGCTGCCGCACCCCAAACGAAAAGTCAATCATCTTCAAGCATAATTATGTTTCAACCAGGCTCAGGTTACCAAACATTCCGTCGATATTTTCTGGGCCAACGAGCCCACCAGTGCTCCAGAATTGCTCTAGCTTCTGTTGCTACGTCAAGTAGAGAAGCTCTACGAATCATTTTGTCCAAAACCGACAGCGGCCGCTGTTGGGCAGGCGGTCTTCTGTCTCAAATGGCCAGCGTCCGCGGCAACATCGACAGCGAGCCCACATCAAAATGAACAGGAACTGCTGTCGGTCTTCATACCAATCCTTTCCTTACCAATTTCGATCGTACCGAGATTCCGGTGGCGGGCCCGCGCCGCCCCCGACTGCCACAGACACGCAACGGCAGGTTCGAATCGTGAGGCCTTGCGCGACAGTTTCTGACAACGCGTGGACCTCCCAACCATGAGCGATCGGCGGCTTCTCGAGATCCAAATCATTCTGCATTGGCCGACTCTGGGCCGCAGGCGGCGTTCAACCTTGCTTGAACGCCCGCGCTGGGGCCGCCGCCGCGCCGACACGACACGAACCTGCCGCACCCGAGCCCCATCACGCCCCGGTCATGCGTGTGTGCGTCGCCGCCTCTTGCAGCGGGCTAACTTCTGAACAACAGCCCTTTCCCCGACCGATCCGCGCGAGCGCTAGGTGCGCGACACCAAAACAAATTCGCCGTCTCTACCGTGCGAACCGCACGTCGAGGCGTGCCAGAATGCCTGTCACTCTCGGGTAGGGTTTCTGCAAATTTCGAAGGGTGTCCCAATGAAACCCGTGGGGGAACAAGAAAAATACCGATACCGCTGCTCCCTCCCGATGGGCGATCTGACCAGGATTTCGAAGCGAATCCAACAATGCCCGTACCCGTTCTCAGCCAGCGCTCTGAACGTCCTGAAGACCAGCTGAAATCATCCTGGCGAAGGACCCAACCATGTGCAGTTGTGAATAAAGCAGTTGTGGGTATCGTCCTCAGTGAACCTCTTTTGGGGGCCATGGCGCGTGTGACGGGTGTGCCAAAATTGGCACGGGTACGCCATGCGGACGCTGCCATCGGATCCGTCGGTGGAGCCCCATAGGCCAAGAACCGTGTGAGGGGTGTGCCGACATGCAGGGTGGAATCGCGTGCGGGCGCTGCCACTGGGGCCTTCGGTTGAGCACCTCACGGGGCCACAGAACGTGCGAGGGGTGCGCCGAAATGGGAGTGGAACTGCATGTGTACCCTGCCACTGAAAAACTCAATGCCGCCCCAGGACGGGTGCCAGATGCCCCACAATCCGCCGACCCTGTGTCGGCTTGTGTGATGGGTTTGTCCGTTCCCGTCGTTCGTTCGTCGTCGTCTCCGTCGTCTCCTGTCCCTACGCCCACCCTTTCCCTGGGCCGCTCGATTCCTGTCCCTGCACTCCCCTTTTCCCTGGGCCCGTCTCCCCTCCTCCCCCTCCATCCTCTTCCCTGCATGGGTCCGTTGCCGCTCCCCCGCCGCTTTTCCAGGGCCTTCCCCTCAGGAGCAACGTTGTCATTGAGTCGAAGGGAAGCCCTTTCCCTTTGATCCGTCCCCCGCCGGGGGGCGGGGGGCTCCGGGGGATGCCCCGGGGGATCCCCCCTCAAATACGACTCCCCCCCGGGGCCCGCCCTAGAATTCCGGGGCCCACACAAAGCCTCACGAGAGCCGAGTACCACGCCCCATCAAGCCCCGGCCTCGGCTTCGGCCGGTCCCGGCCCCGACCCCGGCCCGAATCCCAGCCCCGGCCTGGCCCTGGCCCCGGTCCCGGCCGGCCTCGGCTCCCGCCCCGCTGGCCCCGGCCCCAGACCCGGTCCCGGCCTCGGCCCCGCCCTGGCCCCGGCCCCGGCCCCGGCCGGCCCCGGCCCAACCATCGCCCCTGCCCTGGCCCCAGTCCCAGCATCGGCCCCGGACCCGGCCACGGCCCTGGCTCTGGCTCTGGCCCCCGGCCCGCTCCGGCCCTGGCCCTGGCTCAGGTCCCGGCCCCAGCGCCCTCCAAATCTAACTACACCTCCGTGGCCTCCCGAATGCCCACGATGCCGAACCTAGCTTCAAAACAGCGAACGAAGCCTGGAAGTCGCCCCAAGAGGGCTCCAAGACGCCCCGAATAGTCCTGATAGGCAACCGGCGTCGTCGTCAACATCGTCAACATCATCGTCAACATCCTTCTCCTCCTCATGATCGCCACGCTCTACTCGCCCCTGCCCTTCTTTCGTGCCCCCCCCCGCGACCCTGCTCGCCTCACTCTCCTCCTATTCATTCCCCCCCCGTGCTCCTTCTCCTCCTCATCCACCTCTTCCTTCTGTCCCCCTCTTCATCTTCCTCCCCAGGCTCCACGCCCTCCTCCCCAACCTCAGGGTCGGCGGCACCGGCCGCAAGGCCTTCGCAATAGGGCCAAGATGGACCAATAACCTCCCAGAGGCTGCAGAATGCACCCGCAAAGACCCTGATGGGCCCCAATACACTCCACAAGAAGCCCCCGAACAACCCGCCGGTAGTGCCTCGGGAGACCACGCACGTAGAAAGCAATTTTACTACTTTGGTTACGCTTCGCATCGAAAGATTTTCGGCCGATGCCTCCAGGAAGGCTCAGAAGACCCCTGAACGACACCACAGGAACCCATGACGCTCACAAAACGCCTTCTAAATGCTCCAGTAGGGCCTGAAGAACTGCCCAGACGGCACCACGACGCTCCACCACAACATACCGTCGAGAAGACACCATAATGATTACACAACAGACACTCTATCCCCGTCGAAGCATGGCAGAGCCATGGTATCAGCATCGTATCATCACGACCGAAACACCAACATACGTCTCGACGCTGCGCTTCCAACCCCCTCTCCCGCCACTGCCCCTTCCCCCCTTGCCCCTCCCACGCTCTCCCCGGGGCTCCCCCCCAGAGACGTCCGACATGCGGCCCGAACATATGGGGCCCGACGATCGCGTCGCATCGCCGATGCACCAGAAACGTCGGTGATGCATGGGCGCCGTCGGCGTCTCCCCCCATCCCCCTCGCACCCCCTGGCGTCGCCCGCACAGGTGCCGAAGGGACATGCTTCAATCTGGATGGGGAGGGAAGGATGAGGGGGGGAAGGGAGGGAGGGAGGGAGGGGCGGGAGGGGGGAGGGAGGGAGGGAGGGAGGGCGGGAGAAGTAGGAGGAGGAGGAAGAGAAGATGGAAGAGGAAGAGAGGAGGAGGAGGAGGAGGAGGAGGAGGAGGAGGAGGAGGAGGAGGAGGAGGAGAAGGAGGAGGAGGAGGAGATGAGGAGGAAGGGGAGGAGGAGGAGGAGGAGGAGGAGGAGGAGGAGGAGGAGGAGGAGAAGGAGGAGGAGGTTCTGCGAGCAGCTTGCTCTCCTGCCAGTAGTGGGCGGTGCACCGTACGCGGTTCTGGCCCCGGCGCGCTCGCCGTTCCTGTTGGGATTACAGTGGGCCCCTTGGAACCGTCGTGTTTGGAAGTGTTTCAGGGCGTGGATTATTGCACGAGTCACTGGCTCTATTCCGCTGGTTGCGTGGGGCCGTGGTGGACTGGTCCCTGCTGTCGCGCCTTGCCGGTTATGCGAAAGTAGCGAAGCTACACAGGACCACCTGCTGGCGACCTGCACCGGAACGGCGGTTTTGCAACAGGAAATGCCTGGAAGAGGCGCTACGGCAGTTACGCGGTGGGTGCTACAAGGGGCGCCGACCGCGGAGGACATGCTGTCTAGACTCGTGTATTTTGGCCAGGCTTGCGAGGCCTTGGCAACAGCAGTACCATTATTCCAGATTTTCTGGTTCCGCCGCCCCTTGGGGGGGTGGGGGCTGCGGGTTTGCTGCTGGCGCTCCTTGCCGTGCCCGTGCTGCCGGTTCGGTGCCTTGTTGCCGGGTGCTTGCGGCCGGCTGCTTCGGCCGTCGTTGTCGTTGTGGCCGTCGCTTTTGTCTTCGTCGTCGTTGTCGCTGTCGTCGTCGCCGTTGTCGCCCTCGTCGTTTTCGCCGTGGTCGTCGCCGTCGGCGGCGTCGCCTCTCCCCTTGCCCGCCCCCTGCCCCCTGTGGCGGGGCTGCACGGACATGTGTAACATGGGAATGCAAATGTTGGTCTCGATTCCAACTTTCGTTTCTCCGCCGCCCCTGGGGGGGGGGTCGGGGTGGCTGCCTTTGCTCTGCCGGTGGGTCGCCGTCGTCGCCGTTGCCGTTGTCGGCCTTGTGCTGGTGGTGGGTGTCGTCCCGTCCGCCGTCGGTGTCGGTGCCGTCGCCGGCGTTGTGAGCCTCGTCGTTGTCGGCGTCGTTGTCGTCGCCGCCGCCGTCGCCTCCTTCTTGTCCATTTCCCTGTCCCCCTCGTCGCTTCCGTTGTCGTCGTCGCCGTCGGCCTGGCCTTTCTCCGCCCGCCCCCTGCCCTGGTCGGGGCCGCGCGGACATGTGTGACAAAGGTGCGTGAAGAGCAACCTGGGCGTGGGAGGGTGCAGGAACGGGGGGCCCATGGGCCCTCGAGGCGGTCGGCGCCCCCGTCCTGGCCCGGCGGGGCCTGGCGCGCCCGCGCGCGACTGCGCGCAACCGACTGCGAACAGGGAAAAGGGAAAGGGAGCGGGGGGAGAGGAGGAGGGGGAGGAGGAGGAGGAAAAGGAGGAGGAGGAGGAGGAAAAGGAGGAGGAGGAGGAGGAGGAGATGAGGAGGAGGAGATGAGGAGATGAGGAGGAGGAGGAGGAGGAGGAGGAGGAGGAGGAGGAGGAGGAGGAGGAGATGAGGAGATGAGGAGGAGGAGGAGGAGGAGGAGGAGGAGGAGGAGGAGATGAAGCGCCGTGAGTCATCGGCGCCTCTCCCCCCGTCCACGGCGGGGCCCCCGTTTTGACCCCTGCGGGACCTCCCCTGGCCCGGCCCCGTCAGCGCGCCCACCCCCCTCAGCGAGGGCACGGGCGCGACAACCATGCCCACGAACCCGCCCGCGCGCGCAGCCGACATGAAACGCATTCGCGCGCATCACCCCCTGGCTCCGATGCACAGCGCCGAGTGCAGCTAACAGAGCCGTGCACTTGTTGGTCCGTGAACGCAGGCAGGCGTCAGTTGAGCAAGCGGCGGGGCGCGCCGAAGCGAGTCGAGGCACGAAAGCGCGGGAAGGCTGGAGGGGCGGAGCAGAAGGCTGGTCGGAACATGTAGTTAGCTTTGCACGGGCGCGCCGAAACTGCGCAGCCACCTAGAGCCCACGTAGAGGAAGAGGCCGCGAACGGAAGATCTTGTAGGAGTTCTGAAAACCAGCGACCCGGCGAGGGGAGTCCTGGGAAAATATCTGGAAAGCTTGTAGTAATAGTCTTGTCAGGGGACAGGAGGAACTTGAACAGGCTGGCCTTGGAGAAGAAAAAGCCGACCCAGGCACCCCCTGCGGGTAAGCACCATTGGAACTTGAGGGAAAACCTTACAAGAAGAGCGGCCAGGAGCCAACCATACCAGACGAAACCGGCGGATCAAAATGCGAATGAGAGCCGTACACACATGTACGTGTGTATACAGGCATGCATACCTACATGCATACAAGCATACATACTCCCAGACTCCCATACTCCCATACATACATCAATCCATCCATCCATCCATCCATCCATCCGTCCATCCATACATACATACATCGTACGTACGTGCATTTACACACATGTGTATCTATATGTTTATATATGCATAAGAACAAATATTTTGCGGGCTCCCAAAAACCCTGAACCAACAAACATTGTCATCTCTTGGGTGACAACTTCTTACTTCCGTTGGCCTCCGCAGGCCTTCCGTCACCTTCCGCCGGCGGAGGCGGTCTCGTTCTGCTTCCGCCAGCTTCCGCCGACCATCCGCCGCCTTCCGCCGAGGAAGAGATGGTAACTCCTTCGATGAACGCATCATATGTGTATACACACACTAAGGCACGCAGGCCTTCGCTCTAAAACATAATGTACACACCAAATTGAACCTTTTACGCTCAGGAATCTACCCCGCAGAACGTCCACCATACGGTGCGCGGTGGCGGTTGCGATCATGGCGTCATGGTCGTGTTCCTGTCACCGACAAGCCCGCAAGGGGAGGATCGCGCACCGCTTTCGCGCGCCTGGCAGTTTGTCCCCCTCCTCCTCCTCCTCCTCCTCCTCCTCCTCTGCCTCCCTCCTCCCTCCGTGCTCCTGTCCCCGACAGGCGCGCAGGGGGAGGGAGGGCCTCCGCCGCGCCGCGCGAGTTGAGGAACAGCACCGCGGCGGCCAGCCGGGGCAGGCGGGGCCCAGCACGCATGGCGCGCGCCAGCGCCGGACTTGGCCGCCCCGCTTCGGTCTTGCGGTGGTCGCGGGGCGGGGGGGCACGAGCAGGAGGGAGGGAGGAGGGCGGAGGGCGGATGAGAAGGAGGAGGGGCCACGAGCGGCGAACGCACGTGGTGTCTTCGGTTTGCGCGCAGACAGCCCCGCCAGGTGGGACAGTGGTCCTGGCTGTCCTCGACAATCGCCCAGAATTGTCCCAGCTGGCCTGGTCAGGCCAGCTGGGACTACTCGAGGGGACTGTTGGGGCCAGCTGAAACTACCTGGGGGACTCAGCCCGAAGCCTACCAAACTCATCAATATCCACGCCCTCGCGGTCTGGACTCTGAGGCACGATCCTGTGGATACGGGGTCGTATGGATATGTTCCGCGCGGGGCATCCGCGAAAAAAACGCCCCGTATCCATGCGGTCGCGGCCCAACGGCCTGGCCCGGCCCGCGAGGCCATGGGCTTGGGCGGGGATGGCGCTCGTCTACAGATGCCCGATGAGTAGACTTCGGCGCCCGCAGATCCTAGCTCACCTAACTTCGTGCATATCGCGCCCCGCGACGCGCGGTTATCCTCGTGCGGGCAGCCGCTCTGGCCCTGTGCGCGACGTGCGAAGCGCGACTATTTTCATGCCCCCGCGGGTGACCAAGAGATCCGTGTGCGCGCCACGCGCACGAATACTTGCACAGAGGCAGGTCGACAAGCCCGCGCCATCACAGACGTGCACAGCATCTTACAAGCACGCGTGCACATGTCTGCGCACACGTGCAGTGTAGCAACACCGACAATGAGTGGAGGGGGGCCAACGATGGGGATACTTCTGCTCTTCTACTCAGCGTTCAGCTCAGCGCACATGTTTTGGAGGAACGGTTTGCCGCAAAGACCCATTCATCGCAAGCGATGGGGGTGCTTTGGAGGTACTGGGGGTTCTGGGATGTTCTGGACGTAGACCTGGTCGCACACCTGCAACGCGCGACCAGTGAGCCCACATGGAACCCATTGGAGAGAGTGCCCATGAAGCAGAGGACGTCGGGCAAATAGCCCTGGCAGAATCAACGCTGTACGCCTCGCACGACACCGAATGCATGCTTGACAGGAACAATGAATCGACAACGTACTGAGACGCATACAGGTGGAGGCATGCTCCATGGAGATGCCTCAGCCAGCGCGGCGACAACACAGCAAATTTCTCAAAACAGACAAGAGAGCACGGACGCAAAGCAAGCTGTGGCAAGCTGCACCGCCAGCGTCTCGTCCTCCCCGCGTGTCACTCTTTGACAGTGCAATCATAGCCAGAGCGCACGCGATGCAAAGGAATACGCGACAGCATGAAAATTACATACGCGCATGTGTCCTTCCAATGTTCAATTGCAGAAATACTCGGCATGGAGATTCCCACATGCTGTTTTTGCGCTTGAGCCAAACGCAATGTAAACAATCAGAAGTTTTCCGCGACAGCTTACACAATGTACACTAGAACCACGCGCGCGCTTCGCGCGCGCGCGTGGGTTCGAGTGAGCCTCGGACTTGAAGCACAAATTCACCGACATCCTGGAAAAAACGAGCCGGCTGATCAGCACGCATGCATGTGCACACACGCGTGTGTACAAGCACAGGTGCATGCTTACCCACGCACATACGCACACGCACATGTACTTCGGAGGAGCAATTCTTGGGGGGCCACACATGGGGGTCACACGTGGGGGCCGCAGTTGGGGGCCATGTTCGGGGGCACGCACTGCCCTCTACTCATCACTCGTGTTGGTGCATCATCATCACCATCATCACCATCACAATCACCATCATCATTATCATCATCACCACCATAAGCATCACCACCACCACCACCACGACCATCATCACCATCATCATCATCATCATCATCATCATCATCGTCATCATCATCATCATCGCCACCGCCACCGCCACCACCACCGTTGCAAATCATCACCACAGTTATTGCGGTGGATAGCAACGCCATCAGCATCACCATCAGCATCATCACCATGAGCAGCAGTATCGTCACCATCAGCAGCAGCATCAGCATCAGCAGTAGCACCTTCATCATCATCATCATCATCATCATCATCATCACCATCGTCGTCATCATCATCATAATCATCATCATCATCGTAACCAGTATCAGTATCAGCATCATCAATGGCATCAGCATCCGCATCAGCACCATCATGAAAATTGACGCCTCAATCACCATCGTCATCATCATCATCATCACCATCATCATCACCATTATCATCACCACCATCACCATCATCATCACCATCACCATCACCATCATCATCAACAACACCATCAACACCATCACCACCACCACCATCACCATCACCAACACCACCACCACCATCACCATCATCCTCATCATCATGATATTCATCATCATCGTCATCAGCAGCAGCATCAGCAGCAGCATGACCATCATTGACCATCAGCAGCATGAAGTTCAGTCGCAGGTTGGCTCGGGGGAGGCGCAGATTATCAAGGCACAGCCCGTGGAGAGGAGGCGAGAAATTCGAAGGCGCGTGGGCAGCGGGGGGCGATTCTTTTACGATAGGGCGCCCATCTGGGAGCAAGTCTGGGAACATTGTCTACTGATGATGTGGGCGTGAAGACTCGCAGACGCTTCTTCAGGTCACTTTTGAGGCCTTTCGGGAGCCTCTTGGAAGCGTGTATGGTGCCCCTTGGGGACTTTCAAAAGCCTCGTGGAGTATAGTGAAATCATTTTGGGCGGCTCGGAGGGCCTCTGGGACGCCTCTTGGAGGCCTGCTGGTGCAATGTGGCCTGAGGAAGGTCCGAACGAAATCTGCTTTGGGCCATTTTGCTCGAGCCGGTGGAGGTTCCCGCGTGTGCATCTCCGGTCGTGGAACTTCCCACCGTGCGCGGCTGCATGTGGGGAAGCCTTGGCCTGCTGCATCGCGGTGATCATGGGGCTCTGCATGGGGGGGGGGGATCGGAAGCGCAAAGCCGAGCGCCTCGCGCGGGACATCCCCACAATCTGTCCTCGCGCGGGCGAGGGTGTCTCCCTCCCCGGCGCCCTCCGCTGCCTTGGGGGTGCCAAAACAAGCACCCCGCCCGTCGATATATCCAAGAAAACTGGCCTCGAACGGCGACTGCCCCCCTGCCAGGCGACTCTCCTCGGGGTGCTAAAGCAAGCGCCTCGCGCGAGACACCCTCGCAATCTGCTTTGAAAACGAAGGATTCCCAACCAAACGGGCGCCTCGCTCGAGACGTGCCCACCATCCGGTCCTAAACGGGCGAGTATCGGGCCTGTCGGATATCCCCTGGCGGCTCCCCCTTGGGGTGCCCAAGTGCTATGACTGCTGCATCGCGATGATCCTGTGGCGTCGGAGAGAGGTAAGTCGATGAAACCAAAACGGGCGTTTCGCCTGAGACTTCCCACGAACGGGCCCGCCAGATACCCCCTGGGGGATCCCCATAGGGATGCCCAGATGCGATGCATGGTACATCGTCGGAGATCTTCTGACCTGGGTCAATCCAGACCCGGGTCAGCAGGAAACCAAAAACTGCAATGCAGGAACAAAAACTGCAACGCAGGTCTTCGCAAACCTGGGTCAGCCAATATGTGCGGCCGCCTCGCGGCCGCGAGCGGCTCGCTAACCCGGGTCAGCCGGAGAGGGTCTTCGCAGGATCCTGCAGGATCTGGTACCCTGGCTGACCCCCTTTGCATTGACCCCCGTCTCTTGAGCCCCGACATCGCAGTGATACTGTGGCTCCAGCAAGATGTACGTCGGGGAAGCCAAAACGGGCGTCTCGCCAGAGACAGCTCCACAATCTGGCCGCGAGCAGGCCCGTGAGATACCGCCTTGGCGGCTCCCCTAGGGGTGCCCACGTGCTATGCCTGATACATCGCGGCGATCGTGTGGCTCTGTCTGGACAGAGACAAGGCGATGAAGCCCAAACGCGGTCGCCTGAGACGTCCCCACAATCTGGCCACGAGCAGGCCCGTCTGGCTCCCCCTTGGGGCGCTCAGACGTAATGCCAGTTGCATCGCGGTGGTCATGGGGCTTCTGAGTATGAGGAAGTCCAGGTATGAATGGATCGGAATGTGACAGGCTGCGCGCGGAGGAGTCTGAGTGTGAGTCGGTATGAGTATGGGTGAGTCTGAGTATGGGCGGGTCTGAGTGCTAATGAGTCTGAGTATGGCTAAGCTGAGTACGAATGTGAATGCATGTGAGTGGTTTGTGTGAGAGACGGTCTGAACGTGAGTGAGTCTAAGTGTGAGTGAATCTGAATGTGAGTAAGTTTGAGTGTGGATCAGCTGGAGTGTGGATGAATCTGAGTATGAGTGGGTCTGAATATGAGCTAGTCCGAGTCTGAATGTGAGTAAGTCTGAGTGTGGCCGAATCGGAATTGGGATGAGTCCTATTGTGAGTGAATATGAGTGTGAGTTAGAGTGGGTCGAAGTGTGATCGAGTCGGAGTGTGAGTGAGTCTAGGAGGAGGGAGGAGGCGGGGGAACGGAAGGCCGAGGCATCCCACGGCTCCATCTCATGAGACGGGGAAGAGGGAAGAAGCGAGCCTGCTAACCCCCTCAACAATATCATAATCCTGCACCCATGGAGCAACCGTTAGGCTGCCTGCGTCTACTCCCCACTCCTAGATCGCCTTGTCCATCCCGCTGATTCCTGGGTCAGCTAACTCCGCGCATCGCGCCCCGCGATGCGTGACGCGCGCATGTCTTCGCGTCTTCGAACCGCCGCCCTGGAGAAGGGCGCCTCTCCGATCCAAGCCGCAAGGCGCGAAGCGCAATTGTCCTCTCGCCCATGGGTGCGACCTGGACCTTCAAAGCTCAAGAGTATCCCTGGGCATCTCCAAGTTGCACCTCTCAACGGCCTGATCAACTTAGAAGTCGGTGCGTGAAGTTCAGCTCACGCCGCGCGAGGCATGGGGAGCCCTTCGCGAAACCCGTCGCTCTTGCTCCTCCGCCTCCCCATTGCCCTGCCAATTGATTCACGCGCGCCCGCCCCTCCATGGCTCTACCCATCCTTGTCGCCTCATG